GGAAACCATTCACCTCCTTTCCAACACTGACATGATGGTCCTTCTCCATTCATCCTTTCTTTCTTTCTTTCTTTCTTTCTTTTTCTTTTTCTTTTTTTCTTTTCCTTTTCCTTTTTTTTTTTTTTTTTTTTTTTTTTTTTTTTTTTCCTTTTCCTTTTTTTTTTTTTTTTTTTTTTGTCTTTCTGAGACAGAGTTTCACTATGATGCAGGCCAGGATGGCAGAAATCATTTGTAGCCCAGACTGGCTTTGAATTCAGTGATCCTCCTGCCTCAGCCTCCCCAGTGCTATGATTACAGGCCTGCACCACCATTCCCAGCCTCATCCATCTTATGCCTGGTGGACATCTTCCACCTCCATGATGACACCTTGCTGAGTGACATCCTCTTCCTTACAACGTTCAGCTACGACACTGGTCTGCACCTGTTCAAGGCCATCAGTGTGAAGATGTGCCTGTCGGTGCTATGCCCAACCTAGTACCAATGTCAGTGCTCAACATGCCAGTCAGCTGTGGGTGTTGCCTGTGCTTGTGTCCAGCTAGGAAAGCTTCTGTCTTCTGGAAGACAAGTCTATATTTCCAGAATGTCAGTATATGCACTTATCATGCAACATGACATTCCTCATCTTTATCTGAATCTGCTATCACTTGCAAAGATGTCCACCAGCCAGCCTCTATATAACCACCATGGCTGCCATGGCCTTGTTTCTAGTCTTTGCCGTGCCCATGAAGGTCCTGCTCATCATAACCTACTATTCCAATTTAGGGAAAAGGTAGGGTGGGAATCATTCCCTACTTATGCTTCTTGTCCACTGTCAACTGTGGTGTAGATCTAATGGTCTATTTTGAGGTAGGGAGTTTTGCCTCAAAAGGTCTTTGAAGAAAAGCCAGTGCAGGCCCAGGCGAGAACCAGTCCTCCCCAGCTCCTTGTCCTTTCCCATAAGCTGTTCTTAAGGGCAGGTTACCTCAGTATGAGAAAACGTGTAGGTGTTCTGAAACAATTTCATTATTTCGGGGCTGGGGAGATGGCTCAGTGGAATAAGCACTTGCCTGGCAAGCACAAGGACCTGAGTTCAATCCCCAGATCTGCCAAAAAAAAAAAAAAAAATTCATTATTTCCCAGTTGGCAACTCTTCTAAGATTAAAAATAAATTCCTTCATTTCTCCTAGAGATTAAGAATACTACCAAGAGGGAAAAAAAGAATAATACCAAGACACCTTTCCACATGGTCCACATTGCTGATGTGGTTTGAATACCTGCTCTTTTCGAGGTACTGAACTCTGGGTGTGACATGCGTCTCTCATTCAATCTTAACAACCTTCAGAGCCACTATTGTTATTCCACCATGCGAACTAGGATCAGAGGGGTGACCCCAAGCAACCCTACAAACATAAATCCAGAATAGTCTTTGAGAGGTAAAAGAGTGAACTGTTTATAGAACTTCAACCCACCCCTACTTTCTCAATTTGTGTCTATTCTTAAAACCTTGTGCCCCCTGATTACTCATAGAAAAGCATTGTTTTCCCCTTAGGAATAAGAATTATTCTTAAGAAACAGAAGACTACATGTTGATACTTACCATAGACCATGAGGCTATTCTACAGAGACTCCCTTATTAGTCACCCATTAAGCATTCATCCTGGGATGAGTTGGGCAGTAGATGAGATGTCCCATAATTCCTTTATGAGTATCATCCTAGCTAGGTCTAGTGCCACACACCTGTAATCCCAGCACTCAGGAGGCTGAAGCAGGAGGATTGTTATGAATTCAAGACCATCTTGGGCTACAAAGGAAGCTCAAGGCCATCCTGAACTGTATAGAGAGACCCTGTCTCAAAAAGACAAAATAATAATAATAGTAATAATAATAATAGGTGGGTTAAGGGCCTGGATTCAATCCCCAGTACTGGTGGGTGGGCAGAGGCTGCTATAAAAAAATGAGAGGGAGAGGACCAGCCAGATAGCTCAGCAGACTAAAGCGCCTGCTTAGGCAGAAGCAGGGACCAGGGTTTGATCCCCAGCATGCCGTGCCAGCCCCGCCCCCAGGGCGTGCTGAGATGGCAATTGAGACTGGGGCTGGTGGCACACACCTGTAATCCCAGCGTTTGGGAGGCTCAAAACAAGAGGATCGTTACAAGCCTGACCTACATAGTGAGACCCTGTAGACACTGTACTAAATACACAAAAATAAATAATTAAATACTTATGAGAGGGAGCATGGAAATTCTCACTTTCTTTTTCTTCTTCCTTCCTACTTCTCCTTTCCCGCCTTTGTGCAATATGGGATATATAGATCGATGTATATTTACATGCATAAAGTACAACACACGAATGAATAATTCCTTTACAAAATATGTAGAAAACAAAATCATCTATTTTCTCGGCATTATTTCAATGCATAGCTATTATACAATCTCTCCATCCCACAATCCCTCATTCTTCAATTGATTACTGAGTAGTTCATTTGAGATGCAGCCAATTCTTCTTGGAATGAGGTGTTTTCTTTTTTTATTACAAAGAAAACATTTTGCTGTAGTCCCAAGGCACCGATGATGGACTTGGCTATTTTGAACTGAGTCCTGGGCACTTTCCAGGACTATTTATAGATTTTGCTCATCCAGCCATTTTCTTACTGGAATAATCTTGCAATCCAACATAATTTTCATAAACTTAATTCTATATAATTAGAAATTTTACTGAATGCTCAGTAATTGGTGGTATTTGGACAATTTCAACAACTAGAAAATGTATTTTAATAAATATAAAAATTAGTTGACATCCCTTAATATATGGAATGTTCAATTAAATTGAGAAAAAATATGTTGAGACACCAATAGATAAATGTGGGGGGCCGGGGAGATAGCTCAGTGGAACAAGTGCTTGCCTGGCAAGCCAAGGTCCTGAGTTAGATCCCTGGTACCACAAAAAAAAAAAAAAAAAGGAGAGAAACCAATAGATAAATGTGTAAGGGACATGGAAGGTAATTTATGATCACACATATACCCCATAAATGTATATGCACAGCATCTACAAAAGCGCCCATAGACATAAGACATGTGTTAACTCCTGAAAGAAAGAAATGTATGCATTCACTAATAATCAAATATGCAAATTAGAATAGCAGTGCTACTTTAGCTGATACCAGTGGCAAAGCCTAAGATATACAACTGCAACTTGTTTTGGGAGGCAGTGCTGGGGGTGGAACCAGGGCCTCCCGCAGGCCAGGCAAGTGCTCTTCCACTGAGCTACGGCTCACTGGCAGTGGCTTTATTAACTAGCTTTGCCGAGTGGGAATATCCTTCTCCATCTTCCTGAAAAACTGTCCAGCAATGGGCCATGATCTTCAGAGCCCTTAGGTGGGTTCCTTCATACTTTAAAGAAAATCTTAGCTTGGCTTTTGCCAGGTAGACCAGCTGGCCGAATCTCAGGGTGTTATGGTTTGTGTCTAATTGTCCGTCCAAAGCCTCATGCGGCCAAGGGGCAAACTTCTAGAGGTTTTGATTAATTCACAATCCAATGCTGGGATTACAGGTGTGAGTGCCACACCCACCTGGGGCAGATGGCCTGGGTGCCATGTAAGGAAGGGAGAGGGGCTCATGCTCTGCCTCTGCTGCTTTTCCCTCTTGCTGCCCCCCGCCATGTGCCTCTCTGCCTTGGAGCCAGTCAAGTACGGACTGAAACCTCCACTAACTATGAGCTAAATAAACCTTTCCTTCCTTGATTTGGGGTTTAGGGTGTTTTGTCCCAGCAATGAGAGAAAAGGAACCGAGACACAGAGGGACAAGGTGTCTTCACCGTGACTTCCACCTGTGAACACCACGGCACACTCTCCAGGATCCCGCCCTCCTCAGACATGTGACTGTGGGAAATGAGCATAAGTCACTGCTAGAACAGAGACCGCATGTGTCCAGGTCTCCAGGTTTGATTCTAGAGTAGAATCAGGCCTCTTCCAAGGTGGGTGATCAGAAAGCATTGTTTCTTCTTTTGACAGCTGCCTTCTGCACAAAATTGCCCTTTGATCAGATTTGGCTGGCCTGCCAGAACGTTCCATAGCAGCCTTCCTGCTGTATCTGCGGGTGAGACATGGTTAAGGAGGTCATTCACCACATCACGAGGTCAGTCTCAAAGAGATCGCAGAATCAGGAAGCAGTACGCTTCTCCTGAATACCTGTGAACCTATGCATATGACCCCTATAGCTAACTGTTTTCTTCACTTTGCTTTGACTATGGAAAGCTCAGAAATAAATTTATGACTTACTTTAAGCAACTCTATGGGACTATATAGTGAGTGGGGTTTTTGTTGTTGTTGTTTTTGGTACTGAGAATCAAGCTCAGGACTTCGGTTTACCAGGCAGGCTCTGTGCCACTGGGCTATCTCCCTGACCCTATATTAGCTGTTTTATGTTTCCTACTATGCCTCTTATTTTCTTGCTATAATTACCCTTCCCCTACTAACTATAGTTTTTTTATTTCAACATTCAGTATTCACTTTGTCTTGGTGAACCACTTAAATGACAGAAAAAAGTATAAACAAATGTGAGTTAATTAAAAGTAGCAAAAGGTAGTGTCATAACCTCCATTAGCCTCCAAATGGGGCTTTTTAAAAAAGTTTAAAAATCGCAGGTCAGACCTGGAAGCTGTTAACTGAGATGCATTCTTGTTTTTCTCACACTGATTTTTGTCAGTTTTAAGGAAGTATGTTATTTCATGTTCTGTACTATGGGGGGAATCTGAGAAACCTGTGGCGTCTCCAAAGATCTGTTTTGTCTCTGTATCATTTATTGCTTCTTTAAGTAGCAAAGGGCCAGGGAGATAGCTCAGCAGCATAAGTTGCTGGCTGGCAAGCACAAGGTCCCAAGTTTGATCCCCAGTACTGCAAAAATCAACAAAACAAAGAAGACCAAAAAAGTAGCAGAGAAGGATGCGGAGGTACAGGCCTCGGAGACCTCTTTGTGTGTTGCCTTTGCAGTCAGTGGGAAGCAAACGTATTTCTGAAACCTAAGGGCCCCAGCAATCCCTCTTACCAGCGCAATGGCAGTCTCAGGTTGCAACAAGGACAATGTCAGAGTAGGCTATAAAAAATGTGGCTACCCTGGTCATCTGACTTTTGAATGCCACAATTTTCTCCGAGGAGACCCCAAAAGGGATATAGTTCTGGATGTCAGCAGTACAAGCAGTGAAGACAGTGGTGAAGAGAATGAAGAGTTAAATAAATTACAGGCATTACAGGAAAAAAGAATAAATGAGGAAGAGGAGAAGAAAGAAGAAAAAAGTAAAGAAAAAATCAAATTGAAAAAGAAAAGGAAAAGGTCTTATTCCAGTTCCACTGAAGAAGACTCTTCCAAATAAAAGAAACAGAAATATCAGAAGAAAGAAAAGAAAAAAAGAACAAATCCAAAAAAGGAAAGTATCACAAAAAGGAAAAAAAGAAGAGAAAAAAGGAAAAGTATTCTTCTACCCCTAATCATTCTGAATTCACAAAAAAGTAATTGAGACTTCAGCCTAAGTCATTAAATTTAAAATATTATCTTTTAAAAATGTTCTTTCTTGGATTTTTCTATATAATTATGCTTTGCAATAAACCTTAGCCTTTTTCATATAGACATTTTTCATTGGTGGGACCATTAGTCCTCTGGCTGTGTTTAAATAGGTCTTGTTCCTCAACTGCCATGCCTCAAATATAGAAATTTGCATAGAGAGCACATTATTTTTGGTATTTATAGCTCTGTTTGACTAGTGCTATTACATCATAAGTTGGTCTTAAATGACCCTTGTACAGTAAACACAAATAATTTACCTGTTATTGAATATTCCTGAATCAAGAGTCCACCTTCCAGCAATGAAGCTAGGAAGGGGATAATGATTTGTTGTTGATGCTGAAAAGCTTAATAGGTTTATATGCTGTGACATAATATATAAAGATACTTTACTCTTGCATTTGAATCTCTAGGCTTTTAAAAATATAGTACATAAAACTGCTTTACTGGCCATGGTATATGCAGGAAGATAATAATAAAATATTTATAACCAACTTTCATTACTTTATGAAATGCAGAGTTTCTAGTACTTGCTTTTTTTTTTTTCAATAGTAGTTAAAGTGGGGCCGGGGAGATGACTCAGTGGAATAAGCGCTTCCCTGGCAAGCGCAAGGGCCTGAGTTTGATCCCCGGTTCCACCAAAAAAAAAAAAAGACCAAAAATGGGGCCCAGGAGATAACTCAGTGCAGTAAGTGCTTGACTGGCAAGCACAAGGTCCTGAGTTTGATCCCTGGTACCGCCAAATAAACAAAAATAATAGTTCAAGTGTTTTCTCCTTGTTTAGAGATGAGTTCAACCCGTAAGAAGGTCTGGCAGAGACGATGCTATGTTGGTCAAAGTTCTTAGGGTAGACTCCTGGGTTTTAGAGATGTGCCATACTGGCACTCATATTACTATGAGTAATATGGAAATTTTTATGAATATTAGCACATCTATCTCTTATCTGAAGTGGTTTATACTTTTGAAGCAAGTTTTACACTTTCTGCTTTCATGAATAACAAGTTTGAGGTATTTCCCTCTTTTACGTCAGTCACAAGTATCAGAGCAAAAAGATTTAGAATTAAGAATTTTATTCTATACTTTTAAAATTGAAGAATCAGGGAGTTCCATCATGAAAGTCTTTATATAACATGGAAATGTTCTATGAGTAAGCAGTTTCATCTGCTTGTTGATAGACATAGATGTCCCTTACATTAAAAAAAAAAAAAAAAAAGTAGCAGAGTCCATCCATAAAATCTCTTCAGTTCCTGATAGGAAGAAATGATGGCAAATACTATTATATCACTGTTATACTTAATGCATTCACTTAATGTATAATGCATTATTTAAACAAATATTTCTGAAGAACATTTTTTTGTGGTATGGTTCATGGCACTTTGTCTAAATTGGGTCCCCTTAGCCCCAGCTGATAGACCCTGAGGCTGGGGCCATGTCTTATTCCCCCGTGTGTCCAGTACCAGGAAGTTTGGCCAACTAGGAGGCATCAATATACATTTGCTTGGGGGCCAGGGAGATAGCTCAGTAGAATAAGTGCTTGCCTAGCAAGTGCAGGGTCCTGAGTTCAATCCCCGGTACCACAATAAATAAATAAATGTTTGCTTGAAGAAATAACTGATTATTATGACTCTTGCTTTCCCTTTTAAAACTTTTATCTGTAATAGACAAATAATTTTATATATTTATGGGGCGCAATGTGACATTTTGATGTATTTCATCATTGAATGAATATATCAAGACAGTTAGGGCTGGTGAGATGGCTCAGTGGTCTAAAGCACCTACTTAGAACAAGCTTGGCAAAGCACAGGGACCGCGGTTCAATCCCCCAGCACCACA